TCTAGGAATTGAATCGCTTTGAATAAATTTTTCTATACAGGATTGACAATTTTTACTATCCAGACTCTTAATACTACCTCAAACTCAAAAATCAGAAAATACTTGAGTAACACAGGATATCCTGTACATGAACTCTCAGTATCTGAAGGAATAAATCCATGACTCGGGCATTATCAGGTATTTGTTTAGCGTCCCCCAATCAGACTACGAGACTAGAAAGCAGTCTGACATTCCTGACTACACCATTCACTAGGGTGCTACCCACACAGCACCTGATTGCTTTAGACCTTTCGCAGTGATTATCATGTCTCTGTGAGCCCTTTGGGGAAAGAACCTGCTGGTAGCAGATACTCCATATATTCACACTGAGACCACTGGATCAAAACTCATTCTCTTTCCTGCAGGTTGAAAGAAGCCAGCCTGTGGATTTCATTAAAAATCATTGCCTATCTCTGTATTGCTTCTTACAACTATGTGTGGGTCTGCAATTATCTCAAAAGAAAGAAAAAAAAAAAAAAAACAATTTTAAGTCATGCACATTTCAAGGAACACAACACAGGAAGTGCCTGTTGAAGGATGAAGGCTTTCTCCAGAGTGATGGGATCTTGGGCTCCGTGAATTCTCAGGGCCAAAGGGCTCCCTCTCTCTCTGACCCTACTCACCTTGCCGGCAGGAAATTTGCGGAGAAATTCAGGGGTGCGGTTGGTTACGCCAAAGTGGAAGTGGGGTGGTGCGGAGAGCACGCGGATCTGAGCCCCGCTGTACTGAGCAGCGATGAGGGCTTTGAAGGCCCTCCAGTTTTCAGGGTATGTGTACAGGGTCTGTGCCAGAAAGAACAGGGAAAAAGAATTGGAGGAGAGGGTCTCCATTCTAAATGCCACCTCCTAGAATTCTTCCCCTGAGAATAACTGCTATCTATTCAACTCGATCTTTTTACTCCCGCTGGTGAACCAAGTTCGTTAGTACCTGTCATATGTAATCAGAGTCCCTCGAAATTCCAAAAACAGAACTACACACCAACTGCTAAATAAAGCTTGTTGACAGATCTGACCTTTCCTAAGGACATCTCTAGAAGCATTTTCTTCCCTCAATGTATCGCCGAGAAACCCAAACTTGTAGCTGACTGCTCCATCTGCGGCCAACCACGGCACCCCGCCCCTCCCAGAGCCGTCTCCCATTCATTGATGGGTGCCGAGCGCTCGCCCCTTCACCAGCATCGCCCCTGTCTCTAAGGCGCACATACCCGCTGAGACGTGCAAACCCCCCTCAGAACCGCCATGGAGATACTGAAGCACCTGCCCCCTTCCCGAATCAACTCCTCTCTCTCAAGACCCTTCCGGTCCTTGTCACGCAGACCACCCCTTCCGTCCCGCAGATGAGTTCCCTGATCTTGCCTGCCCTCCTTCGGCCTGACTCCACAGTCCGGAGAGTCCTTTCGTTCCCAAACCCCCCCTGAAAAGACCCTTGATCGTGGCCAGCCACATCTGTCCACAAAGACGCTCCTCTTTCACCGTGTCCCCCCGCTGCCGTCCCACAAAACGATCCCCAAAGTTCCGTCAGCCTGCCCGGGTGCCATGTCTCGAGGCGACAATGAACCGGAACCCCCTTTCAAGGTCCCAGAAGGCCCGGATCCGACAGCTCTTTTTCTGCTCTACCCCGACCCATGCACCTCTGGCCTCCAAGAGCCCCAGCCTCAGTTCCCTTCCACGCTCCGAGAGCCCCGCTGTCCAACAGTAAGGTCTCTAGACCCCAAGTCAGTTCCCTACTCGGCTCCAGAACTCCTCTAGCGCCCACTGGTCCCACTCGGGCAGAGGATGGCGGTGGATAGGGTGACCTGGCTCGTTAGAGCCCGGCAAACTTACCCCAGCCGCCATGGTGATTCCGCAGAGAAAGGGGGTGGGGCTCTCGGCGCTGCCGCAAAGTAAGCCGCCACGGGGAAAGGGGAGGGGGGAAGGGGAGAGCTTTGGAGAAACAGCAGCCGGAAAGCGAGGACGGCATAGAAGGCATACGCACGACAGTTCGGAATCCAGCAGCGGCTGAAGTGGCAAAAGGGGGTGGGGCCTACTGGCCGGCGGAAAAGCTGGCGCCTGCGTATTGGGGCACTCAGGGCCAGTCCACCTCTCAGGTATAACCAATTGGGGTCCGGCAGTAGAGCTGGATCACCGGGGAAGGGAAACTGTGAGAACGACTGGAAAAGCCGCCCCTCCCCGGCTACGTGGCACAGCGGTCAGCCAGCACTGCGCTGGGGCCCAGAAGCGCCCCCCTGCAGGTCCAGAGAGAAGGGACTTGGTGGAGGTTCTGCCAAACCCCCACTGTGACGGTGTGACACAGCAGAGAAAAACAGCTCCTGCACCGAGGTGGCAGTTTGCCCAACTCCTTTTCGTCCGGACAAAGAGACCTCTCTCTAGTAGGAGCGCGAGTCTGAAACCATCTGTACATGTTAGGTTTGCTCACTTTAACCACCTTTGCAGTTCCAAGATGCTGTTACTGCGGAAAGGGCACTAGTCCTGTGGCCTCAGTCAGGGAAGGGGCGAGAGGACACAATACTGTTGCCACCTCTGGCCGGGAGGCTGGGCTCTGACTCTGGACGGGATTTTAGGTAATTTTGGGTAACATTCTCATGAGTTGCGATTCGGATTTGAAAATATATGTATGTATTTTTTAAATTTTTGTGATTTAGGTGAAAATTCTTTTTCCAGACAGCAGTTCATACACATTGTTTCATGACATTGACTGCAATTCCCCACCATGTAACAGTTCTTTTCCCACTTCCTCTCCCTAGTCATCTCTTCCCTGTGTCCTTCCCCTGCCATGCACTCCCTGCCGGCCCCCCATCTGTCTCACTGTGCAAACACTGCCCTTCTGTTCTCCCACAATGCTCCAAGGAGTCTATCTACCTATGTAAGTGTTCACCTCATGTCTATTGTGTGGCTGGAAGCCACAGAAGTTCAGTTCCAGACTGAAGGGTAACTAGGGGCCATAGTCATAGGGGTTTCACGAGGCTCTATCAGAGCAGCAAACCTGGTCTTTTTTTTTATGATTTTTGAGTTTTGTTCCACATTGTTCTCCCACTCTATCCAAGATCTCCTGCACCAACCCCTTTCCAAGTGGTTGACAGTGGTAGCTGGGCACCACCTAGTTCTTCTGGTCTCGTGGTCATATAGGCTGAGGATCACATGGTCCACTAGGCCCTTGGACTGTTTCCATGCCTCTTGGCTTTTCTTCATTCTTATTTGCTCTGGATGAGGAAAGACCCATCACTGCATCTAGATGGCCACTTGCAAGCTTTTAATACCCCAGTCACTACTCACCAAAGTAGGATGTAGAACGTTTTTGTGTAGTATGTTAATGCTGATTGAGCTTGATGTTGCCGGTGGCCATGGTCCCAAGCCCACAGGTCCAACTACTCACTCCCTTAGGGTGGCTGGCTGTGGCCAAACAGCCACCACAACCTTGCCCCTTGTCAGCTCTACTATATACCTGGACATTCTTACAGCACATACAAATACACATGTAGAAACATCGTCTACCAACCCTGTATGTGGTCATGGGCACACTCCCCCCTGCCTAGACATACCTGTTCATTCAGCCTGCCCACCCATCTATCCACCTGTACATCAATGTTTGCCATCACTGACAACGCAGTACTGAACATGCAACAGGGTTCATCATTGTTGTCCGTACCTCCCACGTACCTCTGTCTTCCTTAGTGCCACCGTGCTGAACACTCACTTTTGGTACACTGCCCTTCCCTTCACCCAAATCAATACTTGTCTCTACTATCTAAGTGTTCCCTCCCCTCCCCCCACTGTAACCAACAAAGCAAGTTTCCTTCCATATATAAACTTTTCCTTGACTTTTTACAATAGTGAACTAATACAGTATTTATTCTTCTGTAATTGATTTCCTTCACTCAGCATAGTCCTCCAAGTTCATCCATGTTATGCGGTGTTTTGCAGATTCTACCTTATTCTTTACTGTTACATAGTATGCCATTGTGTGTTATACCATAACTTGGTTATCCATTCTTTTGCTGATGGGCACCTAGGTTATTTCCATCTTTTTGCTATTGTGATTAGTGCTGTGATTAACAAGGGTGTGCTTATATCTGCTCGTCTTGGCTCTCACTTCTTTAGGATATATACCTTGATTGCTGGATCAAATGTTATTTCTACTTCCAACTCTTTAAGGAATCGCCATATTGATTTCCACAGTTGTATCATTTTATAGTCCCACCAGCAGTGTATGAGAGTTCCAATCTCTCCACATCCTCTCCAGCATTTGTTATGTTCTGTCTCGTTGAACTTGGCCATTAGTGCTGGGGTGAGATGGTATCTCATTGTTGTTTTGATTTGCATCTCTCTAATGGGTACTGATCATGAACATTTCTTCATGTTTGTTAGCCACCTGATTTATCTCCTTTGGTGAAGTGTCTACTCATGTCTTCTGCCCGTTTTTCAATTGGATTTCCTTTTTGTTGTTGAGGTGTTGGGGAGTTTTCTATAAATTTTAGAGCTAAGTCCCTTGGTGGGTATGTCATGGCTGAGTACTTTTTCCCATAGATTTGAAAATCTTTTAACCCAATTTAAAAGCAGGATGACTTCTTCAAGGAAAGAATGGATGAAGGACCCTTAGCCCAAATCATGGGCCCAGTTACCATCCATACGTCTGTGGGGCAGCACAGGAAATGTCAAGGCAAACTTGGCTCTTCTCACACAGACTGTCCAACCTGCTGAGCACACTGTCAATCAAGACTCAGGTGTCAGGCACCGTGCTGTCTTGGCTCTCCCTGCCAGCTGTGATAAATGGTATGAAGGAAAGAAAGGGGTGCTGAGGTGGAGAATACCAGGGAGACCTCTTTTAGACAGACTGCTCAGAGAAGACCCGTGGGAGAGGGTGGCATCTAAGGTTTGGGGCAGGGGAAGGAGGGAAGAGGACTTATTGGGTGGAAGGAGGCCTACCACCAAGGGAAAGGAGAGAAAACCAGGAAGCATTTGTATTAAACCAGCAGCTTTATTGCCCTTTAGCATGTCGTATCTTCACTTGAGGAGATGTCTAAGCGCTTGAGGGAGGAAAACCTGTAAGAAGTGGTGGAGCTCAGGGAACAGACCTTGGGTGTCCTGGAGTGGGGTCACCGTGAGAGCCTGCTCTGCCGGGGAGGCAGAGGCCACAAAGGTCAGGAGGGGCTCAGCCTCCGGCCTCTGTTCACCACCCCCAAGTCCCCTCAGCTCCTGGGTCACCTGAGCCTCGGTCACCAGCCACTCCGCTCCGGCGCCAGCACCCCCTCCACCACCTTCCTTGGTTTGCTGCTGTAAGCGTCTCCGGGCACGCCGCCGCCCCTGCCACACTCGGTGCCACAAGGCACAGCGCCAGCTCACAGAGGCGGGAAGTGCTGCCCCCTCGCCTGTCTCACCCTGTGACCCTCCGTGGGCTGCATCGTGTCGTGCCAGGGCGACACAGCCTGGCTGGCTCCCTGCTCCGGTGGCTACATGCTCTCCAGTCATCAGCGACGGCTCCCTGGGCTGCCCAGGGCTCTGCATGGCCCAGTCCCGCACCGTCTCACCGACTTCCACCACCATCTCTTCCACCTCGTCGTCGCTGGGGCCCCCTGCACAGCCCAGCTGCCCTCCCTTCCCCTCCTCACAGCCCTGAGTCTGTCTGTCTCGTTTCAGTCTTTTGCTCGTCCCTCCCTGGGGAGACTCCCCGGCTCTGCCTCCTTCGGGCCGCGATCTCTTGGTTCCCTGCTCTATATGGCATCCCAGTGCTTCCTTTAACAACTGGACCAGGGCCACAGTGAGCTGGGCGAAGGGAAAGGGGGGTAAGGGGATGGGTGTAGCAGACAGCAGGGAGCTAGGGGGACTGGGCTGCAGGAGGGGAAGCAGCCCCCAGTCCCGACCCCGGGAGGAGCGATGCTGGTACTGGAGGCTCCGGCAGTAATTGGCTGCCACTCGGCAGCAGTTCTGTAGCCGCCCAGCTACCCGGCTGGTCACGTTGGCTGCCACATTGTGACTCAGGTCAAAGGGGTCCTGAAGATTCAGGGGGCCGAGGCGCAGGCCCCCCCAGAGAGTAGAGGGCAGGCCTCCTGCCACGGGCAGTGCCTGGCCCTCCCGCAGAGACAGCAGTGAGCCACGAAGATCCCAGCAAGAGACACAGGAGAAGAACTGGGCTAGCAGGGACCCTGGAGGTGAAGGAAGATTGGAGAAAGGGGTCACCTACACGCACAGTGGTTAAGAGCTCAGCTGTTAACCAAAAGGTTGGCAGTTCGAACCCACCAGCCACTCTGCAGGAGAAAAGATGTGGTAATCTGCTTCCGTAAAGATTAAACCAAAAAACTAAACTCACTGCCATCGAGTGGGATCCGACTCATAGAGACCCCTCCTTGGGTTTCCAAGGCAGTTTCTCTACAGAAGTGGATTGCCCATTCTTCCTTCTGAGGAGTGGCTGGTAGGTTTGAACTGCCAGGCTTCTGGTTAGCAGTCACATGCCTTAGGCACTATGCCACCAAAGCTCCTTCCATAAACAGAAACAGTACAGCCTTAGAAATCCTAGGGGGCAGTTTTCCTGTGTCCTGGAGGGTCGCTATGAGAACTGACTGGACAGCAACAGGTACAGGCCAGACCTGAAACTACAGGAGACAAGTTCTACACCCGAGTCATTTCCTTAGCAGCACTGTTTCTCTTCCAAGTGGCTCAGAAGAGGGCCCAGAAGCTAGGCTTCTCTGGTCCCTGCCCCCCAAAAGGTCCCGCCCCCTCTCTGTGCCCCAGGAACACCCTTCCCCAGGTGCTGCTCCTCCCGCTGGCCAGCAGCTTAGCCTCAGGCAAGCCACCTCTGGCAAGGGGAGACTGCTCTGGGGCGCCTCCTCTCCGTCTGTGTAACGGTGGTCACGATATTCTCTGTCCACAGTAAACTGTGCCCACAGTAAACGCAAGAATGTCACCTACGCTCGTGATAAAATCACGCGTCCTCTCCAAGGGCCTGAGACTTACTGAGGGGCTCCACGTTGGTGCTGGGCTCCAGTCTCGAGGCGTCACGGGGGAAACTACAGTCCCAGCCGTCAACTTCGACCTGTTCTCCCTCACCTGTAGAGTGAAACAGGTGTTGCTCAGCCTGGAAACAGAACCACTGCGTGGGGAGGGGGGAGGGGCGTGGGAGGGCTGAGGAGAGCTCACTGCCCTGACTCGGCGTGGCCCTGTGGCGGAGGAGAGGAGAGATGAGGCTAACGAGACCGAGCCGGGGAGGCCGAGCCACTGTACCTGCTTTCTGGGTGAGCTGGGCAACAGTGGGCAACACCGGAGGGGCCCTGGTCTGAAGGAAATAGATCACGAGCAAGGTCAAGGCGTAATTATTGAGGAGGGGGCCGCTCCCTGCGGGAACAGTGAGTCCATGGAGATCAGCGAGGCTCCCGGCCCCGTTCCCAGCCATTCTCTCACCACCCGTTCCTGTACCAGCCCCCATTCTCTCCCTGGTGTCCTCTGTCCTGACATCAACTCAGCCCCAAGTCTGTCCCGATTTGTCCTCACCTGACAGCCCTCGACTCTGAGCCCAGCAGCGGAGGGTATACACAAGGGGCCGGACTCGCCCATCCAGCTCGGAGCAAAGACTCAGGAAGCGGGAGTTATGCAGGGCCAGCCTGGGCAGAGAGGGGACAACAGTGTCAGGGCCGGGGAGCTTTCTGAGCTGTCGCTCCCTGTTCTCTCCAGACTGTAGCTGAAGTAGAGGCCAGAAGAGGGTTTCCCAAAGTGGCTGCCAGAACACTGGTCTTGTGAGAAGGTGGGCAAAAGGAGATGAAATGAGTTAGGGAAACACTACATGTTATGTGCCCATCTTCCATCTTGGACATTCACAGAGGACATTAGAAAACTGCTCAGAGCCTGTGGTATGCAAAGAAACAAAGACAGGGAGGGAAGGAAAAGGAGGGAGGAAAGAGGGAAAGGGGAGAGGGAGAAAGAACAGCTCAATGCATTTAACTTAGCATTTCCCAAATCTGTTCAACCAGGAAACCTGTTTTCACATCCCTTAAAAATAATATTCCAAATTAAACCCACTCCTGTGGCTTCCAGACAAATAAAAGACAGGCATATCAGCTGAACATTTACATTAGGTAGATATACTCCTCAGAGAGAACAATCACGGGAGAATAGAAGGGCTGTGTGTGCACAGGGACATAGCTCAGGGCAGGAGCGCATGGAGGGAAGGACCCAGGGAAGAGGTAACTATGGGGAAGAAGTGGAGGGGAGCTGTTGCATTGTGGTAAATTGCAGTCAATGTCATGAGACAAAGTATATGTGAACTGCCGTATGGAAAATGACTTTGTTCTGTAAACTTTCACCTAAATCACAATAAAAATTTTAAGATAATAATAATATAACACCGAACCGGAGCCAGACAGAGGGGATGAGAAGCTGGAAGAGGGGTGGGACCCCCCCCAAGAGTAACCTCCAGGCTCATCAGGTACAAGAGCTTCCCAAACCAGGACCCACCTCCTCCACCCCAGAATGCTCAGTGGGCCTTCCCCAAGCATCCCCTCGACAGAGGTACCGGTTGCTGAGGGAGACGTCCCCGTGGAGACCTGAGGGCCGATGGCAGAACTTGACCACCGGGCGTCGGGCCGAGGGCACGGTTTGCACTCGGTACACCCCCGGCACACAGCCCCGCAGGATAGACCCCACAAGCTCCAGCATTGCTCCACGCGCTGTTTTCTCCTCCTTCAAGGCCTCTGCTAGTTGCAGAGACCTCCCCAGCTCCTCCTCCTCTCCCTTGTCCTCCTGCAGGGGAGAGCCTGGAGGCAGGGACTGGGGAGAGGCCAGGGTCTCAGAGGCCAAAGCCGAGTCTGGAGTCTGGGGTGCCAGGGAGGAGGAAAGGGTTTCAAAGTCCAGGGCCTCAGGATCCTGGGGAGAAGCTGGAGGCTGCGAGCCTGGAGGGGAGGCTGGGAAGCAGGCCAGGGCTTGAGGATCCAGTGGGGAAGCCAGGGCCGAGTCCAAGGAGGGAGAGTCGGGAGCCTTGGGGGCTGGCTGTGGGCAGAGAAGAGCCAAGTGAACACCTCGCCTGCTGTCCCCTAACCGGGGAACATTCTGGTCCCCAGAACAACACTATCTAATGATGTTGTTGTGTGCCGTCGAGTCAAACCCGACTCATAGCGACCCCTCCTTGGGTTTCCGAGGCAGTATCACTACGGAAGCAGGATTGCCCAACCTTCCTTCTGAGGAGTGGCTGGTGGGTTTGAACCGCCAGCCGTCTGGTTAGCAGGCAAGTGTCTTAGCCACTATGCTACCAGAGCTCCCTGTCTAATATTACTATTAGATAATAGCTAGGCGCTATTCTAAGGACTTCACATATGTTAACTCATTTAATCGTCACAACCACCCTTTTTTAAAATTAAAAGTAACCTTTCCATTCCATGAGGTAAATGGCCTATATTCTTCAAAAACACGATTGTCACAAAACACAAAAACAGGCAGAGCAAAGACTAGAGCGCACCCCAGAGACAGCTGCCAACACTGCAGCAGGGACTGCAGGCAACAGCCCGGTACCAGTGCTCAAGGGTCCTCGGCCTGATCATCCCACTGTGGTTACACACTGGAACACCTTTGTTCTTACGTAACACGTACTGGAATGTCAAAGGGTAAGAGGCATACTATGCCACCTACTTTCTAAGGGTCCAGAAAAGAGAGAATTTGTGGGGGGAGGGGGTGTATGTGTAGACAGAATGATAAAATGAGTGTTATTTTTTGAAAAAAGGTTTCCTGTTCTAAAATTGGGGGCCCTAGTGGTGCAGTGGTTAAGCACTCTGCCACACCCTTCTCCTGTGGAGGGTCTGGTGGGTTCAAACCGCTAACTTTCCAGTTAGCAGCTGGGCACTTACCACTGCACCACGAGGTCTCCTTCCATAAAGATGACAGCCTTGGAAACTCTATGGGCAGTTCAATTCCACTGTCCTACAGGGTCACTAGGAGTTAGAACTGACTCAATAGCAATGGGTTTGGTTTGACACTGATATGACAAAAACATAATCTGTACATTGTAGAAAACACAAGTAAACAAAAAACTACAACCCAAAACTCACCTTGTTGTGTATCTTTTTATATACCATTTTACCAAAATACTATCATATTACCCACACCATTTTGAAATCTAGTTTTTCACCTGTCAATTCTCTTCATCCTATCTCATACCCGTCCATATTCACATTTCTCTACAATCACCCTTCCAGAGAGGCCCAGGGTCCCCATTTCACAGATGAGGAACAAGGCATGGCGAGGACAAGGACTTGCCCCCAGTGACGCGGCTTGTGAGCACAGTTACTGTTCCCTGACCGTCCTTACTGGCTCTTCTTAGCTGCCTCCTTGTCACTCACCTGAGGCTCCTCTAAGTCACCCAGATCCAGGAAGAGGTCAAGATCACAGCCATGCACGTCAAAGCTGTTTATGGAAGAGCCAAAAGGATGGACCACACAGCCTGGGTGCAGAGCAGAGAATAAAGGTCAAGAGACATTAGAGGGCAGTTGGGAGTGGCACTCACATCTGGACCAAAACCCACCACCATCAACTCCAACGCATAGTGTCCCTACAGGACAGAACAGAACTGTCCCCAGAGGGTTCCCAAGGCTGTGAATCTCTATGGAGGCAGACTGCCTCATCTTCCGCCCCTGGAGCAGCTGTTGATTTCAAACCACCGACCTTTCAGTTGACAGCCCGAGCACTTAAAGACTGAGCCACCAGGGCTCCCAAAGAATATAATCGGGCACAAAAATGAACCCGACACCCAACGAAGAGCTGACGTGGGGGTACCAGAGATGCAGACACAGGGACGTGACGCGCAGGGAGGGCTCAGGCAAGAGGTGTGTGTGGCAGCAGGAGACACTCACCAGGGAAGAACTCTGCGAAGACCTCCTGCATCAGCGACACCACGAGGCTCCGAAGCTGCCGCTCCGCCTCGGACAACTCCCTGAGCCCCACGAGCGTCACCATCTGTGCCTCCACGTCTGGCGCCTCGGCTAGCGCTCTGGCCAGCTGGTGACTGTCGGGGGCCGCCCCTTTGGGGGACTTGGAAGCTGGACTCTGGAACTCCTTCTGCTCCCGTGGCCGGACCCGCAGGCGACGTCCTCTCAGGCTGTGCTGAGGGTGGGACAAGACGGCCTCCCGGGCATTCACATCCCCCATCTCCACAATGGCAAACACTCCCTGGCAAAGCACAACAGAGGCAGGTACCCATGAGTGGGTGAGAAGCTCTGACATGGGGACTAGCCCAGGAACCAGGAGTATCTGCTGCTTTCTGTAACAGCAGGGAACATTCAGAAAAGCAATTCTCTCCCTCACTCCCACCTACACATTTTACTGTCACCCTAGTCTGCCACTGAAAATCTCTCTTTATCAATTTCATTGTTCCCGATTCTTGCCAATGATGTGATTTCACTGGTTATCCTGTGACCCAGCCCCTAGCTTTCCGTGATTTAACTCAACTCTTCTAATACTTACTAAGAATCCATGTCAGGGATGCTGTGGCTAAGCATAAATAGGAACACACAATCCCTATCTCCAAGGAACATTCCTCTAAGAATAACAGCAATATGACAGCCACGCTCTTGTGGTCGAGCTCCATGACAGTCACTGGGCCCTAATTTTTTTAAAAAGATAGAATATTAGGAGCAGGAAAGCCATGAGTGCTTTGAGGTAGAAAGTCCATATTCTTTTGTATCCTGGGCAATGCTAAAGCTGGAGCCTCATTCTGCTTATAAAAAGAATGTAATTAAGACAGCGTGGTGCTGGTATAAGGATAAACACTCAGCTCAAAGGAACGGAATTTAGAAATAAACCCATACGCCTACAGTAAACTAATGTCTGACAAGAGTGCCAAGACAGTCCAACGGAGGAAAGAAAAGTCTCCAGAAACAGTGCTGGGATAATACACAGCCACACAAAAGAATGACGCTGAACCCCTACCTCACACCATTCCACAAAACTTAATGCAAAATGGACCCAAAACCTAAGTGTATGAGTTAAAATTGCAAAACTCTTAGAAAAAAATAAAGGTGTAAATCTTTGTGACCTTGTATTAGACAACGGTTTCTTAGGTGTGACACATCACAAGGAACCAAGAAAAGAACAGGTAAACTGGACTTCATTCAAATTAAAAGCTTTTCCTAAGAAGGAACGCATTACTGATACGTGCTACAGTGTGATACACGTTACAATGTGGATGAACCTGGAAAACAGCCAAGTGAAAGCAGCCAGATGCAAAAAGGACACACACTGTGTAATTTCCTTTGTATGGGATATCCAGAGTAGGTCAACCCAGAGACAGAGCACACTGATTGTCACCAGGAACTGCAGAAAAGAGGAGTGGGAGGTAACTGCTTATGAATGGGTGATAGAGACGTTTTACAACAGAGCTGGTAGACATACAACATTGTGAATGTGCTAAATGCCACTGACTTGTTCAATTTTTAAAGTTTTAATTTTATGTCATGGGAATTTTACTTTTTTTTTTTTTTTAACTTTTGTGTTTCAAAAGACGCTACCAAAAAGTGAAGAAATAGCTCAGAGTGGGAGAGTGTTTTTCCAAATCACGTGTTTAATAAGGATCTACACCAAACCAAAATGGAGCTCTGGTAGCATAGTGCCTATGGCACTTGACTGCTAACCAGAAGGCTGGCAGTTCAAACCCACCAGCCACTCCTCGGAAGGAAGGTTGGGCAATCTACTTCCAAAGTGATACTGCCTCAGAAACCTAAGGAGGGGTCACTGTGAGTCAGGTCCAACTTGATGGCACATAACAACAACAGTAACAATCAAACCAAAAACCAAACTCACTGCCGCAGAGTCAGTTCTGACTCACAGCGACCCCTCCTTGGGTTTCCAAGGCAGTATCTCTATGGAAGTAGATTGCCCAGTCTTCCTTCCGAGGAGCGGCTAGTGGTTTGAACCGCCAGCCTTCTGGTTAGCAGTCAAATGCCTTAGGCAGTACGCCACCAGAGCTCCCAATCAGGATCTACCGTCCAGAATAAACTAGAAACCCTTCCCGTCCCCTACTACCTATTTCCATGTTTCAGAGAATTCAGTCAGACAGCTGGCTTAGAGTCACACCTGGCCTCTGTAGTCATCTGGCAGGGATCTGGCAGGATCTGCTGTGTTCAAGAGGGAGCTCAGACTGAGAACAAGCACGTGTGTCAAGAAAGACCTCAATGGCCGTTAGTGATGAACGCTCCAGGCTCTCCCGTGGCCGTGCCCTCATTTTGGAGGTGACTCACTATGGGCTAGGGCAGTATCTTTCAGTACTTTTTTAGCCCATACCCTCTCTGATTAAAGACAAAAGCTTTACCATCATGGTTTTTATATATCATCCTGAGGGGTTATGCGGCTGGATAAGAATCAATGGATGAAGGAACTAGGAATAGAGGAAATGAGGTGTGTTTGGTGGCAAATCTTTAACCTTTCTGGGGTTGATGCCAGTGAAACTTTCCCACTAAGTCTCAGCGTTCCAACAAGGGACTCAGAATGACACCGAGATGCTCGGCAGAGAGGATGACTGTGAATGCTGGCTAGGGTTAATTAGTAATGTAAGTGAGGGTAGGCTGGGCACCTAGGCCTGAGTCACAGATGGGGAGTGACTGATTATGGATGGGGGCTGCCTTTTGGTGAGATGAAAGTGTTCTGGTATTAGATTGTGATGATGGTCATACAACTCCATAGCTCTGTAATTGCAGTGCGACAGAATGCTTTTATAGGGCCTTTCTAGCCATGGTCCAGTAACTCCCACCAAATGATTAGGTGGGACTATGCAAATGAGGTGTCAGTAGCCCACCAAGGGGACTGGACAGCTTTCTATTAATGCAAACAAGGTGCATGGGACTCTTGCAGGGATGGGACCATACAAATAAGGGACCCCAAAAGAGGCCTTTCCATTTTGCCATCCCACTAGGCTTAAAATGAGCCATTCGAGAGGCAGACAGGGGGGACTTCACTAGCACTAAGAAGAGACAACAGCGGAGTGTGTCCTATGGACCAGGAGTCCCTGTGCTGAGGACCTCCTAGACCCAGGAGATGGAGCAAGCTGTAACACCAGAGTTGGTGCAAGACAGTGAGAGGCGGCAACAGAGAAACAGTGGCAGCAGAACCAGGAGATCGGTGCAAGACAGCACGGGAGCCAAACCACGGAGCTCAGAGAGCTGACTACTTTTAGCCGGGAGGCTTCCTGACGGAGTGGGGAGCCTCCAGTCACTTATCCATGGATCTAGGCCTGCCAACTTATGGAGCTTGAGAGCTGAGTGTCTTTGGGATGAGGCTTACTGGCAGAGTAGGGTACCTCTGGCTACTTAGTGGTGGAACCAAAGAACTTTGTAACACTTGCCCAAGCAGAGTATAGGATAGGCCGGCCCAAGAGACCCAAGGGGCAAGAGGCCAAGGGCCAGGGAGAAGCCTGCTGCTGTGGGCAATATCAAGAAGCTGTCCCAACCGCAAAACTGTATCCCGAGTCATTTCTTATCCTGCACTATAACCTGTTACTTCTCTAATGAACCCCATTAATTTAAAGTATTGTCAGTCGTTCTGTGTGGCCACTGCAACAAACTGTTGAACCCAGCCAATCAGAATGCTGTGGGAGCAATGGCTGCTATCAGGAAAGTCAAATGCTTGGAGGGTGGAGGGATGTTTTACCTCCACTTCACAGCAACAGCCTTGAGCTGCTAAAGCTGATGAGGGTCCTCCCTCCTTCCCCTTGTGAAGCTACGTGAGGAGGTCTGATGCTACCATCACACCACTTCTACAGTTGGCACCATGTTTTTTACAGTAATATGTCAATCATAGAATTGTACACTTTAAACGGGCTTATGTGAGTTACACCTCAATTTAAAAAAAAGGAAAAAAAAAAGCACCTCCTTACCTTCACTACTACCCTCACCTCTAACAGAGCAAAAAATAACCAAAGTGAAGCCAAGGGAAAAGGCAGCCCCTTGACCCTGCTCAGGCCAGTCTTCTGACTCTGAGGAGTCTCAAAGCTCACCAGACTGAAATTCAACACTGAGTTTGCAGCCAAAGCCCCATCTAGAAATTAGGTGTACTTCTGCCTGGCTTGTCTTTGTGTACATTTCTCTTAAGCACCTTACAGAAGCTTTTCTCGTGCCAACAGTGCTCCCACAAAAATGGTAAATATTCCTAAAGCCCGTCAGACTTTCTGAAGGAACTGTGGCAAGCCATCTAAGTGCCACAACTGGTCTCTCCTCGTCTGGAGCAAAGAAGTGTGAAGAAAATCAAAGATGCGTAATAACACATCTGACAAGGGGCTTATCTCTAGAATTTATAGAACACTCCAACACCTCAATAACAAAAAGACAAACAATCCAATTAAAAAATGGGCAGAAGAC